TAATTACCAACAGTATTCATTTTAGTAAAATAATTTCAATATTTTGTTAGTCGCAATACTATAAAATAAATCAACTGTAGCTATTTATAATTCTAGATGACTCTCATGTAAAATTTGGTCATAATGTGAGACACATGATTGATCCTCAGACAAAATATTGCCCATAGTAATGTGATTTGGCTTCTAGAATGCAGCACACTATTTTAATATATTTTATCAACTGAAAACATTCATAAAATTCCCACAAGTTGGTAGTAATTTCTTTTTTTTTAAATATATTTTATTGATTTTTTCACAGAGAGGAAGGGAGAAGGATAGAGAGTTAGAAACATCGATGAGAGAGAGAGACATCCATCAGCTGCCTCCTGCACACTCCTCACTGGGGATGTGCCGGCAACCAAGGTACATGCCCTTGACTGGAATTGAACCCGGGACCCTTGAGTCCACAGCCCGATGCTCTATCCACTGAGCCAAACTGGTTAGGGCGGTAGTAATTTCTTTAATAAAATATTTTTCACATTTAAAAACAAAATTGCACCCTAGCCAGTTTGGCTCAGTGGATAACATCGGCCTGCGGACCGAAGGGTCCTGGGTTCGATTCCAGTCAAGGGTACAATTGCAAGCTCCTCCCCAACCCAGGCCCTGGTCAGGGCTCGTGCAGGAGGCAGCCAATTAATATATTTCTCTCACATCAATATTTCTATCTGTTTTTCCCCTCTCCCTACCACTCTCTCTAAAAAAAAATAAAGAAAAGAAAAATATCCTCAGGTGAGGATTAAAAAAACAACACAAAAATAATAAATAATTGCATGTGAACTTTCTTCAGAATTATTATGCTGTATATAACATCCAACAGTTAGCTTTATAGGCATTCTTTTTCCAAAACTCTCACAATTATTATGAACTACAGGAAATGATTTCATTAATGGTAGAGCCATTCCAATCTTTAATCTTTTAACTGGGTCTTTCAATATTTACAACACAAGCGAATAAGTTGTGTTAGAAGATTCTATTAATATATTTGCATTTTTAAGTATTTGCATCACTGAGTATTCATTCTAAATACTTATAGCATGTTTAATCAGAAATAAAAATAAAATGTGTTTCAAAATAAAAAAAACTCAGACTTCTAATATTTAAAAACTAAAGTTAGTATACTATAGGATTACTGAATCACAAATCCTTAGGGAACAAAATATTTTATGATTTTTCTAAAATTAAATCTTTATTGTTAAAGAGATTACATGTCCCCTTTTTCCCCTCATTGACCCCTTCTAGCCCGCCCCATCCCCCTTCACCAGACACTATTGTCTGTGTCCATGGGTTATGCATATATGCATACAAGTTCTTAGGTTGATCTCTTCCCACCCACCCACCACTATCTTCCCTCTGAGATTCCAGAAACAATAAAATATTTTAATGTAAGCATAATAATGTTTAATATTTCATTATTATGTATGTATATATGTAAAGAGTTTAAAAAGAAACCATAGGAAAATCTTAGGGGAATAAGGTTTAATTCAGGTCGCTTGTATTTAAAGTAATATAAGTTAATTCATTACCACATTAAGACTACAAATACTAAAAACACAAGCTTATAAGATACTGGAAGACCCTCTTCAATGGGCTTCTATATAAATTAGGAGTGAAAGTGTTCACTTAAGCCATTAAGTATCAACCTTGGTTTTATAACATTTATCTCAAAGTTTTTCAAAAGTCATTATGTACTTAAATTTATATTATAGACATTGCTATTCTCTTAGTTTTAGAGAAGAAGGTATATCCCCCATTGCAGGAATTCTCTTTACAGCTGTCCAACAAACTCACCCAACCGCTTCATGACCACCTCAGGGACAGACTACCCTGTAAAGCATGTCCATAGTTGGATGGCCATAATTATAACATCTCCCTTCCTAACTTCTACCTATTTATCTTAGTTCTGCCCTCACCAGGTTTATGCCTGGTAGCAAGAAAAATTATATTTATTGATGCCAATTATAGAAAATGGAAATCTAACATAGTAAAAAAGTGGGAAACCATTTCTGCTTAACATTCCTATCAAGTACTATGAAACATGATATTATAGGCACACAGACTTATGTACACACACAAACATATATACATAGATACATCAAATCAGTTATGTTTTGAGTCTCCTTTGTCCACATATTTTGATCATAAAAGGAAATATATACATTCTCTCAGACTTTACAAGTGCTATTCATGTACAGGCATGTACTCATGCAAAATAATCACCCAATATTTTTATCAGAGGAAGAGGGAGAACATTCCCATTGACTCACATACAAAAAGCACTCACTAAGACTGTTGAATAAATATTGCTTGGGAAAATCTAATTTATGTGAAACCATATTAAAATTAGCAAAGAAAAAAACCCACATAGATCTTAATTTAACAATGTAGGAACAGTCCTATAGCGACCTGCATAAAGTAGCCACTCATTAAAAAGTTTATGTGCCCTGGCTGGTCTAGCTCAGTGGTTGGAGTATAGGCCCACAGACCAAAGGATCTCAGGTTCAATCCCTGGTTAAGAGCACATATTTGGGTTGCAGGTTCGATCCCCAGCCCCTGGTCAGGATACATGCAGGAGACAAACAATCAGTGTGTCTCTCTCACATTGATGTTTCTCTCTCGCCTTCTCTCTCTCTCTCTCCCACCTCCCCCTCTCTCTCCCTCTTTCACTCTCTCTATCAATGGGATCTCTTCTTCCCTCCCTCCCACTTTCTCTAAAAAAAATAAATTAAAATAAAATAATGGAAAAAATATCCTCGAGTGAGGATTAACAAAAAAAGTTGATGAAATTAATGCTGTTTGAAAAATCTAACTATGTAGAACCAAGTTTAAAAACAACTGGATTGTGATTTAGCTGCTAGGCAATATACTTAGTTTTATAGCAAAAAAAAAACCACATTTTTTTTATCTTGTCAGTCAGTCAACCTATACTCCAAGATATATAAACCTATACTCTAAGATATATAACAGTAAAATAAGATCTACAATGTGTCAATTTGGATCTGAAAATATTAATTTATATGATATATATTCACCTTTTTCCAGAGCACAATATTAAAACAGTAAGATCAGCACTAGGGTTCCAGGAGTATTGCCACAGTTATGTAATTATCATCACATTGGCACTAAAATAACTTAGTCAAGCAAATCTTGCTCCATGCAGTCAGTCAATAATAAAAGGCTAAAGTTAACATCTGACTTGCTACCATCCATAACCGATTGTGATAAATTAGATTTTAGGAAGTGATCAATTAGATGTGACTACGGAGTCCACAGTGGACCAGATTTCAAATTCCAAATGTGCTGACGCTGACTATGCAAACTTACCAGTGTTGTTGTAGGAGCAGAAACAGCTGCTTTCAGATTACTTAGTTCCTGCTGGATTAGTTTCTCTTCCTCCTGAAAAAGTGAGCATATTGTTTAAATGCATGAACTGCCTTTTTAAACTATACAGTATTTTTAAAACTTTTTATTTTTTTTAATATGTTTTTATTGATTTCAGACAAAGGGATAGAGAGAAAAACATTAATCAGCTGCCTCCTGCAGGCCCCCTACTGGGATTGAGCCTGAAACTCGGGCATGTGCCCTGACTAGGAATTGAACTGGCAACCTCTTGGTGCATGGGTCAATGCTCAACCACTGAGCAACATTGGCTGGGCTGTAACAGTATTTTTAAAGGGAAAATATAATTTACAATATTTTCAATAAAAATAAACATTATTTTAAAGGAGGGTTATAAAAATTATGTGATTAAGATTTGCTTAAAGGCATTTATCCAATCCTCAGACTCTCATTCTTGGAAAGAATATATATTTCCAGTCTAACCCATCTTCCTCTTTCTTCACTCAGTTACTGACCCCTTAAAGACAGTTTAGTAGAAAAAAAATTTTTTCTTTTAATAAACAGTGAGAAAAAGAAAAGAAATTCTTCATGTAGTGGCCAACAAAAAGGTTCTCACACCTTTCCCTTAAAATTAAAAAGCCTTCATGGAACAGAGAAACAGGGTAAGGCAGAAACAAAATCAGTCTATTTCCCTTACACTATATTCTTCTTCTCTATCTTTTTCTCTTTATTTCTCACCTTTCCCTATAAATATATCAATGTGGCCACTTCCACTCTCTACATTGTATTTTACCTTCTTAAAGGCACTTGAAAACTGGCCCCATATTTGGCTAATATAATGCTATCTTTAAATTACACATTGAATTAACAGGTGTCCATTTGGTGGCTAACCAAGAACTACTGGTAAAGCACTACCACATATAGATACCTTACATATAGTTTCAAACCTCAATTTGGGACCAAATTTTTTTTTTAATTTATTTTTTATTTGTTTTTATTGATTTCAGAGAGGAAGGGAGAGGGAGCGAGAGACAGAAACATCAATGATGAAAAAGAATCACTGATCGGCTGCCTTCTGCACATCCCCTACTGAGGACTGAGCCCACAACCCAGGCATGTGCCCTTGGCCGGAATCGAACCTGGGACCCTTCACTCCACAGGCCGACACTCTATCCACAGAGCCAAACCAGCCAGGGCACCAAATTTCTTTTTATTATTTCATTCAGCATCTTATAAAAGTTAGCAAACGCCGAACCGGTTTGGCTCAGTGGATAGAGCGTCGGCCTGTGAACTCAAGGGTCCCAGGTTCGATTCCGGTCAAGGGCATGTACCTTGGTTGTGGGCACATCCCCACTGCGGGGCGTGCAGAAGGCAGCCGATCGATGTTTCTCTCTCATCGATGTTTCTGACTTTCTGTCCCTCTCCCTTCTTCTCTGTAAAAAATCAATAAAATATATTTTAAGAAAAAAAAAGTTAGCAAAGGACAAAACGTTAAGACAATATTAAGTCCACAAATAATGAATTCTGAATGTGAAGCAGACCCTCCCCAGTACAGCAGCATCTTATCTCAGTTTTAAAAGAACTTTTTCAACACCCAGAGCACTCTGCAGAAAAGCCTTCCCTCGCTGCCTTTCTGGCTCTCCTGGTCCTTACATCAGTGTCTACGCTTCCACTCGTCCAAGCCCAAGATGAACAACCCATTCCCTGGGAAGAGAAAGTGTGTTTTTCTGTTTCCTCCGTGTCTCCCACATAACCTCTTCCATAAATACAACTGAACAAATTATGACACAGTAACGTGATTTTGTAAAGATACAAGATCCCTGAAGCTTTGAATGAGTACCTTGCACAACCTGTGCAACTACCCAAAGTTGTGGGAACGTAATCACTTGCAAAATAACTGCTCATCTTCAAAGCCCATCTGAGGCAGTGACTCACGCAGCAAATTGTACATGTTGGGAGAATTATGCTTTTTTCTTTGCCCTACCCATTTGTCTAACTCAGTGGTGGGCAAACTGCGGCCCGCAAGCCACAGGCGGCTCTTTGGCCCCTTGAGTGTGGCTCTACCACAAAATATCACGTGCGGGCGCGCACTACAGAGCGATTGAAACTTCGTGGCCCATGCGCAGAAGTCGGTTTTCCGCCTGGGCGAGTCTATTTTGAAGAAGTGGTGTTAGAAGAAGTGGGGGGTGTCGGTTGGTTGGGCAATGGGAGACATGGCGCAGGCGGGCTGCGGGATACCAAGTGGAGGGCGGTGGAGCAGGATTCATGCAGGAGTTGAGTGAGCCAGCCAGTCAGCAGTCTCCTTGTGCAGTGGTTAGTACTAGTCGCGTCCACAAATTGTGCGCGGGTGACAAAAGTACCTACTCGAAGCATAAAGTTATCTGTATTTTTCCAACCAGCTGCAAATCCTACAGGTATTTTTGTCATCAATTCTTTTTTGCAAAGGCCGGCTTAGGAGTACCCTAATTATTAATAACAATGTTCCTACCTATATAGTTTAAGTTTAAAAATTTGGCTCTCAAAAGAAATGTCAATCGTTGTACTGTTGATATTTGGCTCTGATGACTAACGAGCTTGCCGACCACTGGTCTAACTACACACCTCAAGCTCCCCCAAGATACTCGACTGCGGGTTGCGATGGCAGGGTCTGCTCCCGCGGGTGGCATCCGCACAGGGAGAGCTGGGGGAGAGAAGGAACCGAGGTGGGGAGGAGGGAGAAACTTCGCGGGCGGTGCGTGCTGACACCTGTTCCTCGCGCTGGCATTCTCACGCCGTGATGTCTCCCCCAGCCTCCCAACAACCTATGGAACATGCATGGTCTCTTCCGCCCAGGTAACACCTGCAGGCTGAGGAACCAGTTTCCATAGTTTTGGAATATTATCAGCCATTACCTCTTCTAATAGTGCCTCTCCCATTCTTTTAATCCTTCCATGCTGAACCTTCTCATCATCTTCATATTTTCTATTTTTTGTCTCTTGGTACTCTATTCTAATTTTTTCAGATCTATCTTCCAGTCCACTAAATCCTTCTTTGGCTATGTCTAATCTGCTCTTTAACCTGTTCATGGTCTTTATTTCAAAGGCTATTCTTCATCTCTAACTTTATTTCATCTTAAGTCATTTGAAAATACGTTTAAGGCATATTACCTGAATTCTATTACCTGAAGATCTTATGATTTGAATTTTGTTTCTGTTGATGCTTTTTCATGATGACTCATTTCTGTGTTTGGCACCTTGG